TTCAGAATGTAGATTTACCAATAAGGATTGATCAGTTCAAGTATTTAACATCGACAAGCGGAAAAGATAAACCTCCATTAACATTACAACTAAAATTCACTGTATTGCAGATGCCTCAAAATAAATGTATCATCAAAATATTTAACACTTGACTTTCAGAATAAAAAGTGGGAAAATCCACTCAAGAAATCAAATCAGGAGACTCTATTTCATTGTAGTCAGATGGTTGCCGTGGATTCAAAGAAAGCAGGCCATATTTCGAGGTTACGAATGAATACTTCCCGGCTCCCACTGTTAGTTTTAAAATTATTGAGTTTATCCTAGATACCGTTAAAATGGATTCCAATACAAATTCTGGTATATATCTAATGAACATTAGTTGGAGATATATTACTAAGTTCAAAAATCCCAGATTTCCGTTTAAACAGTGAAGAATTTCGTAGTTGTATGGAATGATAATTGCGTAATGGTAAATTAATCCCCAAAATTACTAACTTTGTCAGTCTTCGATATATTCTTTATCTTTCTACTCGATAGTCAAGGAGAAATGAATCAAGTAAGAACTAGAATGCAAATGTTATTGAATATATAATTCAGTGATTGAATTCATTAGCATATACAGTAGTTATAAACAGTCAAAGTATGATTAGATAAATGGATACAAGTGGACTAAAATAATGACAGTATTGGGTTAAGGTCAAGATCAAATTTCTTTGTAAATGAATTGGATTTATATGGACACTGGAACTTAGAATCAACAGTAATCGTATTAAAGTAGACATAACATTGGTAGTAGAATATCCAATAAGTGTATTGGAGTGAAATAAACTCAGAACTGGAATTCTGTGTATTAATCTTCATTGTATTGAAATGATTACAAACTGTCCACAGTATCAATTAGTTAGCATGTCTGAAGCATTTATGCATCAATAAAATAGTAAAATATAGTGTCCAAATAGATAGGTAGAGAGACAAAACAACAAAGGAATATTGGAAGGATTCACATGTAAGGCATGCGAATTAATCACACAACTGGGCACAAGTTGACCAGTAAAAGTGAAGTAATTCATTTGGTAGTCACATGCTCAGTCAGATATTCCAAGATGAGCATACAGCTATGCGGATTTAACACATGTAGGTTAAATGTCATTTTCTTCGACACGGAACACATCTCCAGCCCAAGGTTTTTGGTCAACAGTCAGCACCAAATCTGTGTAGATTGGGTAGATTGTTCTGAGTATCATCTATGACAACTAGTCGACTTAGGTTTGTAGATATTCAATATGACCCTTAAAATTCACATACACTTCGTCCTGATAACCGTCACTGAATGACGCCCCAACAGTGTATTAGTCAGAAGGCGAATAAGAAGTGTTGATTATGTTTATTAGTGCCTCACGCACAGATAACCATAACTACATGTACGCTAAGCAAGCATGAAAGGGTAGTGTCAAGAAGCAAGCGGGTAAACGAGTGAGCGCTCGAGATGAATGAGCGAGTTGTCGAGTAAATTAATAGGATTAAAATGTACATATATATACATAAGGAATAATCGGATCAATTAAGCGACTAACAGGTCAAGAATGGTGAACACGGGAGGAATGGAGTCGAACCGACATGGCGTGGCTCAGCCATGCAGGCGTGGCCATTCTGTAAAACTAATTGCATATTGTATTAAATATACTCTCTACTCCCGAGTGCTAAACATCATATTGCAGACTATATGATATGACGAGTCAGTGTAGACAATGGTGTAACTTCCACGTAAGATCTCACAAATTAGGTTTTCATATCATGACAAATCTACAATTTTGAGATTAGGTCTATTATTTTGGTAGTAAAGATAAATGTACTAATACCAAAGCAGACAATAATTCAATAACCTCTATACTTTTTTTCAGAAAATTTATCGTTGTTTTTGGTATTATAACGTCCGACCCACCACATGTTTCGTGCTCCATGTCCAAACATATAATCACGTCTTGGCTTGTGGTTTACTTGACTTTGAAACCATTACGTAACGATGGGTTTCGGACAGTAGAGTTGTCGAACACCGGGTATCCATGATGTCATCAATTTCTTTTGAAATTGTAGCATGTTTTATACGCATTGTGCCCACGCATCTGTTCACAGTTTTCTGTATTTGCTTGTTAGTCAGCAGTCGCATTGGTGCGTAAACACACGATCCTTCAATCCGAACATATACTGACCAAAGGGGCTTGCGTTAAACGTTAATCATTTCAAGAAAATTTGGAGACGGAACACTCAATCGTGGCTGCATGTCTTGGTCCTGCAATCGTTGTCACTCTATGTTTCTTCTTGTTCTTTATATGAGGTATATTATTCCATCCACAGCCCGAATGTTCTTCAGGAAGATATCATGTATGTTGGGTCAGTGTAGACAGTAATGTGACTGTTGTATGAGATCTTGTAGTTCAGATAGTCACACCATGTCAAGTACACTATGTTTGACTCCATTTATTGTTCTAGTAGTATAGATAAGTGCGTTAATACCGGTCTAGGCCTAAATACTACAGTCAATCTTGAGTGCTGTTAGATATATGAGGGCGGTTATCGTTTCCCGTTCGTCATCACCGTGGAAGGGTTATTCTAGAGGTACCTAAAAATGAAATTGGGTTGGTGTTAGTTTTACTGATCTGGGCGTGTGACCGCAGTATCCAAGGGACAACTATTTGAAGCCGGTTAAACACGACAATTTTCCAGGTAATTTTCATGTTAACTTTGTACTTGTTGAGATCTTACCACCGGAGACGGATATCCGTGGGATAAGGCGGGGTGTGGCTTTTAGGGTCGAAAATTTCTAACCCCATCCTTCCTTGTGGAAAGGCAGTATCACTATTCTGCTGGTTGTCTGAGGGGAACACCTTACTGCCGTCACACCTCTGTAATGTCAATATTTCGATTTCGCAATCGGACTTTAAGTTTTCTGGTCTTAGTCTTGCCGCTCTTCAACTGACATGTCTAGTAGGGTAGGCCCTTGAAGAACGATTGTTTCAGCTACCGTAGCTCGATTGGTCCACCACGATAGGCAAGCTCGATTACCACATCAAGGTAGAGGCAATGGTCGTGTCTAAATCCCACAGGTTTATTCGTAGCTAGTATAGTGCATTTTGGGGATTTCCGCATCGTTCATTAAATTTAGAACTACTGTGGTGTGGGTTACTTATATCGACAGAAATGGTATATAACGGTATCAGGCATAGGATGTATTTCAGTAGAAGATCGATGAGGAAAGAACGGGAACGAAATGCAATTGGTATGAAAAAGCATGAACAATGAGATGTGAGACAATCGACTGATGTTTGCAACAGGAACAGTCAAGTTTGATATGATGGATTGATATTTTTCAAATTAACGATTTACTTCATGGTTCTCAAATTTTATTGAGATGTTCAGTAAGTTCATGTCGAATACATTCGGTTGTCCCCACCCTTGTTCTGTTCACTACACTACCAATTATTGTAAAAATTCAAGAATCGATAGGCTTGGAGACAAAGTTTGTATTTGTAGAATATTGATTGTCTAACGGAACCGGATGATCTACAATAAATGCACTAAAGGGATTATATTACAACAGGCGGAAAGTAGAAGCAGATAATTGGAATGCAAAACGGAAACGCAAACAGATTGTTGAAAGGTTCCTCTGTATTAAAAACTTTGTTCCATAGCAATAGTAATACGCACCGAACCAATCAGGTGATAGTTATTGGGAAGGAATCTTTGTTGTATTTTATAAGGTGATTGAACTTTAGAATGTAAAGACAAGGTTTTGCTATAATTACTCCACAGTGGTAAAGACAAGTTACAATGGACGTGTTACAAATGCTCTAAATGAGCTTGCGATTTCATGTTCGAAAGGTTTGGATTGACTCGACCTTCAATTATAGAATACAGGAACTCAGAAAAATACATTATAGTATTGTTAGAACACATGACAGTTTAATAGAAAAATTAGTTCTAGTTTTGTCGGTATCTTTAAGAGGGGTAACTATAAATGAGAAACCAGGTTACTCTCTGAATACAGAAATAGTCAGATGAATCTATGCATCTTTCAAGAGGAAACACAAAGTCCTCACAACCGACATAAATTTATGTACCGATTAATTTTCTTATATTCCGTCCTCAGTTGTTGAAGAGTTCTGTTACATGTTACTTTCTGCCATATTTTTACTCCATCGACGATAAGTTTTATTGGGGCGTAGAAGCAATGGAACGTCACTGAGCTCTAGCTAAGCATCTGGCAGTCAGGTCACTGAATGTTGAACGGTTTGCCGATCCTCGTCATGTTTGAGGACAGCGAATGCGACTAAATTAATTGCACGCCATGGACTGGCCCATACCGTGGTGGACGCACTTTGTTTCCTGTACCAACTCTAATACATTTCTGGGATGATGTCGTTTGTGTTGTACGGTCATCAAAGTAGACATAGTACCCGAATACGACGAAAGGGTAATCCATGTTAGGTACCAACCATGAGGCGTGGTTTTGACGTCGGTTAGTTGTCCTCACCACGTTCTTTTAACTTTAGTGGATCCCTAATCATTTGACACAGATCATCTACGCCAGCGATATATACTGGTGGGATTCGAGGTTAAAGATGGAAAATAACATATCAGGCAAGTAAACGCGGGACCCCTCCTTATTAGCTTTGCCAAAAGCATCACTATCTGTGATAAACCGTCATATCCTTTAGTCCTGGTAACCTGATGTAACATAACCGAAATTCGTAAGTCTACTGTGGTTGTTTAAATTGAGGCGACATAATCTTATTTGGCTCATGGCTCGACAAATGTCTTCAAAATTGCAAAAAATTAGGTTTGAAAACCTTGCATCAACTATTTTCATCTAAGCTATGCATTGTCAGTTTCATTTTGTTTTTGTGCTGCAAGTTCGAAGGTCAAGGCTCCTTCGGGACCGCCATATGTATATTCGCCTCCGCCATGTTTGTCCTTTGAAATTGTTAGCTAGTGTTCGTCATAATGAAGACAGATTTTGGAAATCGGTATGTGTATTCGTGCATTAAAGTACTAGATTTTTTCGACAACATATGTTTAACTGCCTGACTACTTCGAATAGCTGGAATAATCACAACTCTTTTAAATGATAACTTGAGGATTAGGTTAATGTATTTGTTGATTTCTTTCTGGTTTCGTTGGACTTCAATATTGTTTTTGATGACTTCCGATTTCTTTAATTGATGTTAGGCACAATATTCAGTGGGTTTCAACTGAAGTATTATCTACAGTTATGAAATCCATGGGTTTCCCATACTAGAAACTCTGACTGTAAATAAGTAAGTATGAAAATCGTAGCAGTTAATTAGGTCAATCTAGGTCTTAGAATTACTTCAATCGTTTGCATTTGCTGTTCACCTACTGTCAAGTAAGTAAGGTTTTGTAAAGTCGAAAACACGATAGAAAATAGTAACTTGATGGTTAAGGACGTTGTACATTTCTAAGGAATATCAAGCAGTCAGTTTTTTCACTATCCAGGCTTTATTTGAGTCCGCCATAATGTTCTCGCTTACGGCTCATAGTCACTTATTACGACGTGTTTAACTTCCCTTGTCCAAGTGCTAATGTGTGATTATAAATATGTATCCCATATGTTTCACAGACATACTGTAGTTGTGTTACTAAAACTTATAAGATATTTAGGACACCAATACAAAACGCTCTGGTAAATGTCTACAGACTACCTACTTCATCCTACAATATCATAAATGAGGCATTGTTAGGCATGATTTACAAATGACCAACCAACAGCGGATTAAAGACTGCCAAAATGAAGATTAAGGCTAGGTTAAACAGTTGAAATGTTAAGAACTAACCAGAACAAGTTGGGGAATATAAATCGCGTAACAGTAGTTCCGGATTTAAAAGAGGTTATATTTGGTAGTGCCAGTGCGGCTAGTTCTGATCCATATCATTCAACGTCCCTGAATATGTACCAGTGATCGTGCCGACTTCGGTCGGTAAATTTTCACTTCCTGACGTGACTATCCAAGTTATCAACTGTATGGGCTGCCATCGTGTCTTCGTTTGCCCGCGTTCAGCTTTCGCACAAACTGTTCTTAGTAATCATTGCGGATGGAGATAGTGACTCAGCAGATGTAGAGCATGTCTTAGCCACACTGAGTCGATGAAGGTTCGTTGATTCATCAGTTAACTTTCTGATCATACTTATTACTATATCACTTGAAGGTTGCTAGTAGCAATGTTTCGAAAACCCCTATAAATATTTTCACTAGTTAATGAATTTCTACTTCGTTACATTACAACTGGTATCCGAGATATGACGTTTAAAATGAACGGTTAGTGAAGGGCAAACTACTGAAGTTCTCGCCTTCAGTCACTTCTCAATTCACCACATGTTTGGGAATCATAAAAGAAAAATATTCAACCCTAAATCCTCTGAATGTTTTATGTAAGATTTGATTGTGTTAGGTGCTTGTTTAGTGGCTTTCATATTTATAAATCATGAGAATTTTAACAGATCACGTAGTCCTTTGGTTTTGACGAGATCATAGGTTGAATCTAAATTATCTGACCCAGCGGTGTATTCTGTTTTTAGGGGAGATCAGTCTTGTACACTGTCCAGACGATGCTCTACCTACTTCTTGGACAGCCGACTATCGCTATCTCGTCACTGGCTTTAGGCTTAGTATCTGTATCTTGTAAACCAGTTATACTAATGGGTTGTGTAGCATTTGTGGCCCTTTGGGTCCTCATTAAAAGTGTCTCCACAGAAAGGAAAAAGTCATCCTGTTTTGACTGCGTGTTTTTATGATATAGTAAAGAGCAGATACATAGTCTGTCTTGGCAATCAGTTATCAGAAACAAAAAGAATTGGTTTCTCCATTACTCGCTACGATCTTCTTTAAAGTTACCACTCACTCCTTTTGAATATTTAAAATTTCGTTGTAAGACGGCACTTTTTGTATTAGAAAAGTGGTCTAAACTTTGTGAACTACAAAAAACCATGTTGCATAACTTTATAGTTAGTATGTGTATGATAAATACTATGCTTGAGTACCAGCGAATGAAAACGGTACGAAACAGTTGAGCTTAGGTGAATGCACTATGGATTTGTATACTAAAACCTAGCTTGTCAAAGGTTCGGGATGTGCCCCCCCAAGAATACCACATGCTTCTGTTTGGGCACTCGAGCTGTATCTCAACCCTCACATATCTGTTTGATGTCTCATTGCACCAATGTTCGTGTGTTTAAATAAATAAAGTATTTTAGTGACTTAGGTGTTTCGGTTGCTTTTCAACCCCAATAATCGTTACACTATTAAATCGACTCATCCTATTTTCGTTACGTTAGTCTACTTTACCATCGTTTGACTTTTGGATTGTATCTTAACATTTTAGCTAAGACTAGTTCCGTTGTTGTACGCATTCTTTAAATTCTGATTTTCAACATAAAAATGCGGCTAATATGATTTTCATTCAAACTCCGACGGGCTAAACGTTAACGTTATATTAAACAGCAATAATTCGTTATCTCTTCAATTATTAAAAGAAATTTTTACGGTAAGTGTTTTTTTACAAATTTTGGCTCACATTCTATGTATTAAAGGTAATTCAATGTAACTTATTTCGTCAATATGTGGAATAACAAGTTTATGTAATGTGTTTTCAGCACACAAAAATACTATTCAACGTTGAATTTGTTAATCTGATCCCATCCACTAAAGTAGCAGCGTTTTTACAGTGATTAGTATAAATTCACTCAAGTTGGAGACCAGATCAAATTAAGTTTAATATTTTACGTAGCTACCGTCCTATTTTAGATAATTAGGCGAATGTACTGTCAGTGTTAGTGTTACTTTATTGGGTAGTCTAATGACGATATCTGGATAGGTATTAATGTCTCATTCGTCATACTTCCCGGTAAGCTTTAAGGTCAGACAACACTTCTGGCCATCTTTTTTTTGCTGGGCTATGCCAAGTGTCGGTAGTATAGTGATACTAAGGAAACTCACTTCGACCCCATTCTCGCTCACTGCTTTAATCTTCATAAAAATGGTATTTTATTTCAATTTAAGGTAATGTACATAAATCTTCCATATTCATAGTTCAGTGTTACCGTCTGTTTATCGTGGATTTTGTGCTGTCAATACTGAATCAAGTTAAATTCTTTACAGTATCTTTTTTGGCATAGAAAAATCAATTTCTTAAACAATTTATTGGATCAATAAAGTAAAATTCCTTTTTTAAAATGTTGGTATGTAAATCTTTGCATAGATATGCAACCACATTGGCCTATCATTGCAGCGATGTCAGGTCACCCGACTATTGCTAATGGCTCAGCAATATCCATTGACCGTCACATTTCTGGTCCGATGGATTCTAGCAGTATGCTTATTGGTGCACTTACCCCTGGTTATGTACGACCGACTCTCTCTTCCAATGTTTTACCTGGTTCCTCAATCCCTTCAGCACCTAGTGGATTCAGTCCTCATCAGAGTTTGGCTTACCCTTTCCCTCATTCATTCTCTGTTGGTGCCAACCAGTCACTTGAACCTGCTATTACTGGGCGTCAATTTCCCAATGCTTCATTAAATCCCTCTTACCATCTACAACAGTTCCAACAATCGGCTTCCCAGCCCTTACCCTTGCCTCATCCACCTGTTCCATATGGTCAGTCGTTATCTTACTTAGCACCTTCCCTAGTAACAGCTATGGGTAATGGCAACCTTGGTCACATACATCAAACTTATACAAATGTACCATCACAGGCACCGATGGCAGTTAATATGACAGCGCATTGCCGTACATTTGATTCTTTAAAACATTTTGGTTCTGTCCCTCAAACACAGGTGAGTTTCTTATTTTTGGGCTATGATTAATTACTTTTCTCTCGTAGTTACATTGTTCCATATTAATCCCACCGAAAATAATTTCGGAAAGATGCAAAATCTTCAATTTTATCTTTGATGGCTTAAACCTGTACACTTTGTGTACATTGTTCTAAATTGATATATCTGTTCATCTGATGTAAAATTCCCATGACTATGTTTCGCTTCCCATACCTAGTGACTTGTAATGTGACTCATCTCAACGTTTCACATCAATTTTGCAAGTTATCTCAACCTGTTAAGCAAATTTGTGTTAAACGTTTATTACAAGGATGTACGAACAGGTCAACTGTATATAGTTATCATTACCAAGGTTTGATTTGATAATTTCGAATAAATTGAGCATTGGGTAGATTGTTATAAATAAATAGTATATTTGTAATATCCCAATGAGTAGGAAATCTAGTTTTTCTACTCATTGGGATATTACAAATATACTATTTATTTTGGTCAACTGTATGTTTAAGATTATGTCGGTGTGGGTGTTTAACTTAATTGGTTTCTGAAGTATTTTGCTTTGCAATATCTCATTTCGGCTCAATGATCGTGATCTGTACTGATAAGGTAGCGTTGATGATAAACTGATGTTTCCGCTAAAAAAATGCCTGAGAAGGGTAAGTAAACAGAAAAGATTGTTGAGAAGAATGTAATTAATGTTTCCAGAAACCTCGACGGGTGAATAGAAGACCACATGTTGACCATCTGATAAATAAATGAGAAACTCGTTTTTGGAGACAGTTAACAATACCCTTCAATGCATCATTGGAAATTTGTAGAAATTTGCCATAAAATGACTATTTATCGCTGAATTTAAAGTAACCTCATATGGTTTGAGGTTTACAATTAACAGTCAGTTAGTAGCACTCCACTGGTTAGAATTTTAATAATTTGTTACGTAATTTGAAGAATACCTGTCGGGTCTAGTTCATAACACAACTACTGGTCCGAGTTTGTATCAGGACGTGTTGAGTCGGTGGCTTAGTAGTTGGATCAATTGATATTCAACCATTAGGTCACAAGTCAGAGCCCCACTTACGTTTATGTGGAAAACCGAATGGCGCAACTAACATCCACACAAAGTGTATGACTTAAAACGGGGTACATAAATATGTACCTGTTGAGTCGTGCTAATTAGTCATTGAAGGGACATGCTGATAAATAATTTACCTGATATTTAGATCACGAAAAGATCATTATTAGCCTGTCTACCCTACTGAAATTAATATCTAATTTGGTTACATCGTATCCCAATATATCCAATTCATGATGCTGTAATGAAGCTTTGGAAAAAGTCAGTTTATTTCATAGATGTGTGTTCTAAATCGCATTAAACTTCTAACTTATTAGCTAAAGGTATATTTTAAAATCTCGGTCCTGTATTAGTATGATCATCTGTTGAATGACTTGTATTGAAAATTTGTCTATACTTTTTTTGGTTTTCCTATAGCATGGTCGTCGGAATAAATCAACTGTCACTTCCAAGACCAATTTATATATAAGTGGACTAAGTGAATCTGATACAGATGATACAGTTCGGTCACTTGTTGAAAATATTGTTCAGCCAAAGTCTTGCAAAGCAATGGTTGTCAACGGAAGATGCAGAGGTTAGTAGTATTAACTAAAATGTCATATATTGATGATTTGTAAAGAGATTTTGATGTAACAGTAATCGTAAATATTGCTATAGGTATTTTTTTAGCGTTTCGGTCTTTTCTTACTTCAGTGCATGATAGGTTGTATTCATGTGAATTCTGGACACTCAAAACAATTCTCTGCAGTGTATGGTGGAGATAAGGTGTTAGTGAAAATCGTATTGGCTCTCAAATTCCTCTATATTCGATTAGTTAACGATAAAATTCTAGCAATATAACTTTATTCCTAATCACTGGAGTTAATATGATGCTGTGTAATAAGAATAACTAAACCACGACAAAGCATTGTTCATTATTCATGAATAGTAACAACTTACTTAAATAGGTTTGTGGGATTTCACATATTGGATTAGTGATTTTCTTGATATTGCCAGACATTCACAAGTATTTGAGTAAAGTTAGATAATCAAATATGCTTCATAAATTGTGGTGTGGCGCATATGTATTTGGTGCCCCTTTGTACCAATATTTATGTGTTCAAATGGACCATGAGTCGTAGTACTTACTGCCACGTATGGTTTTAGACCATGTCACTAAGCACCTGAATATCAATTGATGGTAATAAATCTGGTTATGCGTCGATGTTAGTTTTATTTTAGTTTTTTATCGTCTCTAACCGTTGGTTACGATAGTCGATCTGTTCTCATCCAAATAGTCTGAATCTACCTACATAACTTAGTCCACAAATCAGGGACTTCATGGAATAGTGCTATATATTGATTTAGTAATTAACTTCCAACCCTCTACATTGCCCTCGAATTAGGTGGTGGTGGTGGTGGTGGAACATACTTAATTTTTTTATAATGGGATAAAGAGATTCTCTTATTGAACTTTTTAGGTTCTGGTTTTATTGATTGCGCTTCTGAAGAGGATGCAGAAAAAGCAAAAGCACATATTTTAGAATGTGCCAGAACTAACGGACGCAAATTATCAGTAAAGTATGCATATGAAAATGAGAAAGATGCTCTTAATGTTTATGTACGCAATCTTCCACGTGAAGGTTTTTCAAAAGAGATGTTGGAAAGTTTGTTTCAGAAATTTGGTCATGTTACGTCTGTTAAACTTCTTGAAACAGTCACAGGATTTACAGGTATGTAGCACTTTTTTTGTCAACTTTTAACCGAATTTATGCGAGCATTATGCGTCATGAGTACATAGCTTTATGGTTATTGTTTGGCAATACTAATTAAGTGCTATCTTTACTCCATTGTTACGTCTTCCCAATTTGAGTGTTCATTCACTTAATTTGGTGTCGCTACCGAAGGAGAGGGTGAGGCTCTGCGACGACCTTGCGGGATTAGTAGAGGGGGCACTAGTTGGGACGGTCTGATGCAGGAAGGTGACGCTGAGTGAGTTTTTCTAGCGAGGCGGCGTTGGCTGTGGCGGTCACTATCGATGTAGAGGAGTGGAACGTCCGGTGGCGGATTTAGATGGCCACGGCAGGTCGAACTTGCTACAGAGGTCAGCGCGCTGGCGGACTCGGAATTTTGACGGGAGCGTGGCATAGACTGCGACAAAGAAGAAAATGGTACGGCGAGCAGAACAACCGCACGAGCGATTGCTTAAAAGGGGAACAAGTGTGATGTATGATACTTATATCTGTCAACATAAACAGTATCTAACACCAATCAGAAGTGGAATATCTGCGAACAGAAGGCTGAGAAGATTGAAATGCAGAGAAGAGAGGAGGAAACTGATAACAATCAAGATAACAAGAAGAACGAAGGAACAATGAGGCTTTTTAAAGACAATTCAAACATGTGCAAATTATCTGTTTAATGTATAAGTATCACATTTTGCTAAACCACTGTAATTGTTCATTTAACAATAAAATTGGTCTTCCCCACCTAAGCGTTCCTTTACTACAATATAACATTTCGATTGTTTTCATTCTGCTTTAAAAACTATCTATTTTGTCGAGGTTTGCCTTGAAGTTTTTTATTTAAATCTAACTAGATAAAAATACGATTATCACAACTACAACAAACACCCTCAAACTTATCTGTTGAAGGTTCTTGTGATTTGCAATAAGATGAAAAAATACCATTCTGTTTAGTATGTGAAGCGGTCTACGAATGGTAAAAATACTTGACTTTTTAACTACTAAGTTGTAGGTTTAAGCCCCGACCCACCTAGTTCGATGTGAGCAGTTGTGTGGTATCTTACAGTCATCACACACAAAACTATACTTCAAAGCTTAATAAACGAATATGTTCATGTTTACTTGTGATGCATTCAACCTAATCACAATAATATCCAAGATCACTTTTTTTGAAAAACAAAATTTGTCTGGAGAAACGGATTAATTGCATATTTTACCAGCTCTTCAATTGTAAAGCAGTTTCGTCGTTTTTAAGACATTTTAGTCGAGATACTATGATATTTTAGTATTACTGATGAACCGTATGATTATATTGACTTTTCATAGTACCATTAATCATCTATACTAGTATTGCATGTTCATTTTTTATCTTAAGTTTTGAACGTGTCTTTTTCCAAGACTAATTATCAATTGTTCAAATTTTAAAGCTTCACTTTTACATCACCATTCAGACATCGTTTATACTTCATATTCTGAATCATTAAGTTTTACTGGTGTGTAAAGCTCACACATTAATTTAGCCAGTTTATTAAAAAGGAATGGTACATTTTACCTACGTCTACTTATGTTAAGGTGCTGACTGGTGGTTTCCTACCAATGTATTTTCTTTCTACTTTTTGACAAGAATGCATAATCAATCTTGTATGCAATTTATTAACGTACTGATTATTGTATCATATAAATCTAATGTATTGATCTATATACACTGTATTCTATCAACAAGTAAGTGCTTAAAGCTGTATCTTCATCTATTCAATTTAAGCGCATTTAACTCAAAAGTCATTCATTTTTAAATTTTTTTCAGGGATTGGCTTCGTTCGTTTTGCCACAGCCGAACAAGCGGAAAAAGCAGTTGAACAAATGAATGAGGCAAAACACATTGTTCGAGGTGGGGATAAACCCATAACTTGTAAACTGGCTGATAAAGCAGATCCTAGACGACGTAATGCTGCTCCTAATGCACAAGCGTTTGTTGCCGCTGCTGGATTACATCCACAAATACCTGTTGCTAATCATTTAACGCGTACAGCTCAAGGTCTCTCTAATCTCGCTTCTCTTCAAGCTTTAGGTCAAGCTCAACAATCTACCTTTACTCCTCAATTTCCTTTAACTGCACAGTTAGTGCAACCTTTGCATCAAACTCCTGTTGTTGTTCCAAATATGCATTCATCTTCAATATCCTCACAAAACCGTAATATTTTATTGCCATCAAGTAAGTTCCGTCTGTCGCGTAAAAATTTGTTTTAGTTCTTTTATTGTCACGTCAACCTTAAAGCGGAACTCATTTCACTTTTTATTCCCAAACATAAGCCCTATTTCTTTTTTTCAAATATTTTGTGTTAATTTTCAATTGCAGCACTATTGCAGAATGGTCCATGTGGTGGTAATACAGCTGTCCCAGTTTCATTCCCTTCCATTGGAACGAATGGGGGTAATGGTCAGTCGACTAGTTCTACTAGTTCTTATAGAGCTAACTTGGTTGGGATACACCAGGGTCAAATGCCTTCTGGAGCTCAACCCAACCAGGCAACTGCAATTGTTGCTGGATATGCTGATTATCCCTTCAGTCGTTCCAAATCATGTGTCAATGTTCAATCTGGAAACTTCTCAGCTAACAATCTCCCTGTTTATACAGCGAATGGTAACTCTTCTCAGTCTACTCATAGTGCTTTTCAATCAGTTGCATTTGGAACTCCTACAACTTCTAATTATCAGGGAGGATTATCGTATGTTCATCATCAACAACAGTCACAACCAACACCTGTAAATATTATTTCTTATGATCTTGTTTTTAACCTAATTTTTTATCTGTTGTTTTTTGATACTCCAAATACTGGTATAGTTCCAGTGAATTTCTAAAGTAGAATATTATAGCTGTAATATTATGGTTTGGTATTTCATGTTAAAGGGGGCTTAAAAGTTCAGTTACGTTCTAGAAGTGTTCTGGCAAGACACTATTGGATACTATAACCGAAGTCATAGGAATATCACAAAATTGTATTTAGTATTATTGAATACTGTCTACATGCGGGGAAAGACTGGAATAATACTTTCACTTTGTAATATAACATAATAATGTATTCATTGCGTTTGGCCTTATACAAGCCAATGACCAGTCACTCTTTCAAGTCATCTAACAAGGTCTACCAGATTCATTAAACTTAACAACTATGAATTTTGTTTCTTTTTAATTGTTATTCAAGCTAGGACTAAGTAAAATTTACGCCAAAATTTCAGCTTCATAGTTGCAACATTTAATTCATTGTCATCGTATTATCGATTTTAGATCATACACTGCTTTGGCCGGTTGAGTGTCGTTTCATATCACATATTGATTTCACTGAAGACCTAAACGACCACTGCATCCTAATATGGAGCTCCTTCACATCCCTGTACTTACATATTGATATTTCTCATGAGTCATTATTATTACCACTGCTACTAATGCTTGCGATCGTAGGAACTATTTCTACTCTTGGTTTTGAGATAAAGTGTGTGTGGTAGTTCTGTTCACACAATCTTTCCTATCATCTTAATTATCATCTAATCTTTTACGGGAGTTCACTGCCAACATAATCTTTCATTTGATTTATAGCTGTTGTAGTGGTTTTCATGACTTTGATTTTGAGCCTTTATTTGAATACTTTTTTAGAGTGTTCCTGCAGCGGCGGTTGCAAACAATTCTCAAATGGTTATTTTGGCTCAGACCCCTATTAATTGTCTTTATCAATCATCAAATGGATCTACATCAGCCGCTTATCCAACAGGTATCTCATCGACTAGTGTTCACCAGAAGCAACCACTTCTTTCCTCTAATAACACTCCTACAGTTTGTCAGGTGCAAAATGTACCATGTAATTCGTGTCCAGTTTCAGAAGCAACTACAAATCTAAATCCTGTTGGTTTAATTACCTCTGAATTTCAAATGATGAATTTTGGTTCAAATAGCATAACTAACGTTTCATCGTCTCATTCAAATTTGGTGACTGATGTTTCTTGTGAAACACAAGAGTGGTCAAATGTTGGCAACCAAAAAATATGTTCTTTGAATTCTGTCAACACTTCAGAAAGTGATGTAGCTTATCAATCACCATCTGTCCTTCAAAATTCACATGAGTTAACAACTTCAAGCGATGGGAATGTTGGCTATACTGCTACTACTACTCAAAATACTATTACTGTGTCTAATACAGTAGTAGAGCAAAATGATACTCAATGTTACACAAATCCTGTGCAAGAAAAAATTAGTTCTTCAGATTTTAATAACTTATCGAGTTTGTCCAATGAAGAATTTAATGTAGTAACTTCACTTAATCCTTCAAATCATTCTTCTGTCCCAAATTCAGCTTATTTAACGGGGAACCATCATTTCTCTTCGTCTAATCTAGAAGTTAATGGTTCATCGAATTCTACTGACTGTCAGTCGAGTGCTTTGTCATCGCAAAGAAAAAATAAAATTACGGACAAACATCGAGATTCATCATCGTCAAATTCAACCGTTTGTAGTCGTCATTGCAATGAGGTGGTCAATTTAAATGATACCAAATCAGCATCATCATCATCATCTATACAACATTTGAATAGACGAAAGAAAAATCCTTATTCATCTAGTATTAATAGTCATAAACAGCATTCAAGATCTCCATCAAAGAAAAAGAGTTCACCTGTCAGCAGTAGTACCGAGGTTCGTATGCCAACTAGTTGCACAATTTTGAACCCATCGTCTCCTTAAGTAGAGACATAACTTACGTCTATATTGTTTTTTTTAAACAAAAAATCCCCACACACAGTTGTCGATCAGTTAAAATGGATTTACAATTTACATGCGTGGCCAATTCTCGCATTCAACACTAAATTTTTGTTTTAGGTACCAAACGAAAGTGTACATATATCTCACCCTTTTTTTAAACCACTCTGTAAATGATTTTACAATCAATGTTGTGTTTTGTGATTTCTTCCTCCCTTCCCACCTTTCTGTCGTTTTATTCCTTCATACTTCTCTCTTCTTCTTAGGACACTGTATCACTTTTCTATTAGGGTCGACAGATTATTGTGTGTATGTTTGTATGATGTGAGGGATGTTCAGAAAAAGAAACGTTGGAAAAATAATGCTCAACTAGGAATCAGTCCAACTATTTGACCAAATAATCAATTTAGAAAACTGAAGGTTATTTGTGTATCTTGCTTAGTTTATGAAGAAGAAAAAAACAATTTCGCACACATTTTCTTTGTACTTTCGGTCGAAATATCAGCTCTTTTCTTAATTTTGTGTGAAGTGCTGCAAAACAATGTCCAAGGTAACAGTTGAAGGGGTTGTGTGACAATATTATAAGTTTTTTTAACAAAAATGTTCGCTGCTGACTTTATTAACTTTCTTCTGTTCTCTTGTTGCAAGAAATTTTCAATGAGTTTTTTTCAAATATGGTCGTTCAACAAGAGGCGTGTCTCATCGACATGCCAAATTCCTATTTAAAGTTTAGGCTTACTAATCGTGTCTAACATGTGTATTCAGTTCCACCAATGATACGTAGATCAGAATTGCCATAATACTTTGAATAGATAAGTAGTTCACCGAATACATTCATTTGAAAATATTCGTGTCCTAAGGCTAATTGTAAACAAACAGGTTCAGTAAACTAACAATATGTAGAGTATTTGTATCGATCATAGTGTTCACTGCGTTATGTGTATTGATTCAGATACTTTCCAGTACATTATGAAGAAGCGGTAGCACAGGATAATACTGGCGTATAAGTATAACGTAATATTGCAACAGTTGTGTCCCATTTGGATACTTACGTAATGGTGTGCATCACTGAGATCGGCAGGTGTTTTTCACTTAGAAGTTTCCTGATTCTTTTCAGATTATTGGTTCACTTATCAAGACTCTGGAATCCCATTACATCTGCTCTGTAATACGCATAGAGAATCAAATTGCAACTCCACTGAATTATTATGGATAACAACCACAGATCGTCCCTCGGTTTTTCACAATCTAGTTTTCAGTGTAACACTAAGTTTGAGAGGGTAAAGAGCACTTTGCTTCCTTGCTGATAGTCCCTCATGCTCCATCAAACCATGGTGCACGTCACCTACTCCTTGTCGTTATTGTCCACCTGGAAACTATAGATTTCGGCTCAGTGGTGAATTAGAATATGCTAAGTTTCTATATCGCCCTTAAAGTGTGTGAGTAGGGGTTTAAAGCGCCTTCCCACTAAGTAGCAGTTTCTAGAACTTGTTGGATGCAGTAAGTTTTTGGGTCGTCTCCCAAGAAAGGCGTTCACTCTGAGAATGGTTGATATGGTCTTCATTCTGCCGTAGGAACTACTGAGGCGTTATAGCAATAAACCAGGAAGTTGAGAAGAACTAGTGAGTCTAGGGCTGTTAATAAATGCTTGTGAGCACTAAAAGTCAAAATCGTGGGACGTATACGATCTTGGTCTAGTTGCTGTACTTCAAAGGTCCTGGGTGATGGAAAAAGTGGGAAAATAGAAGTATCAGTGACATTAAGAAAGGCAAGCCGGTGGAGGGCATGTTTCCAGAAAATACGTGTGAGGTACTAGACGGATAAGTGAGTATCTGAGACATTACACTTCACATTCGATCACTGGTTCCAATTATTAGCCAAACCTAAACAAGATAGTCTACTTAGTCCGTTGTCTAGCTACCTACTTTTTCGCCAACAAGCTCTGGACTTTGAGGTGAGCAATGGTTCGGCATACGTAACACCCTAGCCAACTCAGCCGATCGAGATTAACAATCACGAGTCGGTCCGTCTAGTAACCTACGTCTAATTTTGGCATTCACTTAGTTGTTCCTGGAGATGGGAGTGGTGTTTCAAAGATATCTACTGTTGAATGCTTGCGCCCTTTGTATGTCATTACCTTCATAGGCCGAACAGATGCAGGAGCCTCACCATCTGCCAGTATCTGAAAAAGTGAGTAAATATTTCGAACATGTGAGTAACTAGGTCTAAGGTTGTTTACCGAAACCCACATCCCCTCAGTCATCTGAGGTCTTATTGAGAATAACAAAGTTTAACATGATATTCTGTCTCAGATATGTTCTGTCTAACACTGTCTTCTAGTAGGAGGTTGCATGATTATAATCTCTTGAAAACAAGTTTACCTTATAAAAGCTGTTTCTTTGTAATCATTACATGTCCTATTCGAAGTGATGGGTTAGTTTGATGACGTGTAAGACCGGGAGGATTTGTGTTAAAAAGATAACTGTTGATGGTTTTAATGGCATAACACGAGAAATTATTCAATAGGTCATGAGAGCTAGGACAGTTGGTCAGTTCTAAAATAGTAAGGGAGGAGAATCGCATATTTCACTCGTCCTAGGTTATTTCTAGATGTTATATTGACTGAAATAGTAGTAAAATGAGTGAGACATTATGCTATCTGGTTTTCTCTAACTCGATGTTTTATTTGGCTAGTGCATGAGATCCTTACTTAAGCCTCATGGGACTTGGGCCACCGATGAAGCCTCAAACCAACTCTGTTCTTTCCAGTTGTCGCAGTGTTATTTATACTTGCTTTGTGATGAAATGTGGTGATTTGCACAGCGTGTCCCATCATAGTTTCCAATAATTCAGGTGTTTGATTATATTCATTGAAGAACTTTGTACGACGGCTGACATCACTTACCACATTCTGTGCTTTTTTAATCATGAAATAGCACCGTAAGTACATGTCAGACTCTAATATAAGGATAACATTTATATATACTACGAAAGTAATTTAGATATAGTAAAACTAAGGTTAAGCCCAATGCTTAGTAGAATGATAGCGGTCGCAATGCTAGTTTTGCCCATATCACATCGTAATTAATCCAATATTTGTAAATAGTGAGGTGGGTCCGATCCTCACGAGGAATGTCGGTCACTTAAGGATTACAGATATGTCTAGCTGACGAATGTGAATTAACACAAAACCTAGGTCAAGGATTTCCTCCCGATTTGGTTTCGAACATCTAGACTAAGAAACGATCCATAATAAAACTTGTCCAAAGATATTATAAAATTGAATAATATGGTCAGTGAATGAATTAGAAATTTCATTTGAATGAACGAACTTAACGTCAACATTTTTTTAAAATTTTCATAAAAAGTTTATATTCTTCGTATTTCACTTTGAAGCAATAATATTCATATCAGATTAGAGTGTGTGTATGTATGTGTATTGGTCAACGAAGTGTATTCGCTCTTCAGGTTCATATGAATTATTGCAGTACTGAACAACGTATCATTTCGATTAAACAAGCATTCACTCATTTTGACCTGAAGTTTGTACTGATGATATCGTTCAGAAGAACGATGAAAGCTTCACAATTAAACCACATTCAACTCAGAGAACAAAACTCCATCAAAATCATCCACCTGAGCTACAAATCTCCATCAACTTAAAATCAAGTGATTGACCATCATATTGAATCATATTAATAACCACTTTTCAAAGTCACTGTCATGATAAGTTTATTGAATTGATATTAACAAACATCACGTCAACATTGATTGCCTTTAACTAGGAAAATTCAAAAACAAGTAGTTTTATAGTTATCTTCAACATTTCAATGCTTGTATTGATTCTACAATTTTTTCTCTGATATAATGCCAGTCAGTCACTGTGGTATAATGTGATAATTTTTAACATCCTATATTTCTTGTATAAAATTAGTGGTCTTCTAGTATGAATGACGCCTTGAAATATTCATTAGATATTAGAATATTATATCGTCTGTTCTATTTGGAGATGTTTTGTAAATATTATTTTAATTTTTAAGTTGTATTCGTTACATATTGATCTCAGTTGGAGTGTCACCGAATGTCGACTAGCATTGGGCAACTGTTCGTTGCAGTCTGAGAACGTATAGCCCTACTAGGTACCGATCTCATAAACTCCAAGTTTCTAGGCAAACGGCCAACCATAAAATTCACTTATTCGGTGTCGAGTAGTACAATTCAAACGAAAATCAATTTTCTAAATAGCATGACCATCATCCAACTTCACCAGTCATGATTTTTTTTTCTCTAGAATTTGAGAAGCTCATTTCAAAACTTTATTACTTATGCTCGGTATTAAGTGTTGTAAATTATTTAAAGAGTATTTGATGTAAATATAAAATAAACTCATATCGAATGTTGTCATTATAGTCAAGATTAAAGGATTTCCAATGATTTCCTGAAATTGTCATTGTAATTTTAAATTTTTTAAGTTAATTTGCAAGGAGTTTTATAGAGATTGTCAAACTTAATAATTCACTTTATGAACTAACCTCAGCTAGGCAACTAATGAAAATCAGGAAGTACTGAACAGTTGTTGAAAAGAGATCAGAAGTAGGTCGCGGAATATCGAGCATCGACTGAAGCTAGAAATGTATAGCAACTCAAGTGAGTTTGTTCACATTTAATTCGGTTAAGTCATTTTGTTAACTTATTAACGAACTGAGTCATCCGTACAACAACAACTTATCTATATCATTGTATCTTTATTACTGTTGCAAATGTATGAGTATGTATGCTTGAGCAGTGCTTACTGCCCACGCACTTATTCACGCTGCTAGCCTTACTGCTAACCGCTTAATTGATTCGATGATTCATTCGTTTCACTATGTATATATATGTCCATGTTATTCATGTTCATTGCTCTCTCTCTCTCTTACTCGAACTCATATTCTCTGACTCACTCGCTCGCTTGCCTGCTTGCATTTCGGCACAACTCTTCTATGCTTATTTAACGCATCTGTAATTCTGAATATCTGTGTGCAATCCCGTAATCAACGCTTTGTATTCACCTTCTGATTAATACACCGTTTGGGTGTTATATAGGACGGTTATCAAGACGAACTGTATACGAATTTTAAGGATTATATCAAATACCGGCCACCACATAAAATATAAATCACTGAATATAAACTTAGTGGTCTAAAGGTTAGACAGTCCCAATAAGACATGAAGATGCTGAGGTCGATCCTTGGTAAATTCTTGAATGTGCACTTCTAAGGTGTCACATACTCGAACGAAACTTTTTTCTAGTCCTTCCTATTTATCAATGGTTTTCCATCTAAGGTCATTCTATAATTTGAACTATATAATTTCTGAGTGTTTGTAATTATCTGTCATTCATGTTAAAGACTGCAATTGATCAGTTTCTATTATCAATCCTTTTAAAATGAACACATGTCAAAATAAGATGTGATTGATCAGTTAATAAAGATAAACAAACAGAACTTCAGCTATGCTAAATTCATAAAACACCATTTAATATTGTGATATACTTTCTACTCTGGGTTTCACTGTGCCGTGGACTTCTGATAATTGTATTAATAATAAAAAAATGAAATAAACTACTATCTAACCTAGAATCTATTTCTTAATTGTTATTTGGATATTGCATTTATACTTATCACATGAACTGAATAGGTGGTCTATAATTATCTTGTATTATGACCATAACACCTAATAGTTAATTCATATTATATCATATAAAATAAACTCCACCTGGAACCCCTCTGAGGCTACTGCCAGTCTCAAACCTGAATAAAGGAGGAAGGTTGTGCATAGGGTTAGTGACCCCATCCCTTAAAA